ATGTCCCACATTTCTCTCCTCTTTGGCTTCATGCTTAGCCTGAAGTCTTTGGTAAGCCCTTGTTAGAATTGTTAAGGTTCTGTGGCATTGTCTATCTTGCTGAGTCGGGTGTTCTTCAGGATGACCTATCACTGTAACTCCTTTAGCAGCAGGTACTACACGTGCATATGCTGTTTCTTGCCAACCCAAATGTTCATCCTGTTGTCCCTTGCAGAGTTGCAAGCCTTGCATGAAATGGTCCAACAGAAAGTTGTGACTTTGCTAAGTGACCCAGAGAATATTGTGAAACAAACACTGATGGAAAATGGAATAACACGTCTGTGTGTCTTTTTTGGACGTCAGAAAGCCAATGATGTTCTTCTATCTCATATGATCACTTTCTTAAATGATAAGAATGACTGGCATCTTCGAGGAGCTTTCTTTGACAGCATTGTTGGTAAGCATTTGGTTTCAGCCAAACAGAGTAGTAGAGAGAAAATAATGTAAATAAATTAACAGTTTTCACTATATGCAAAAAATAAGTCATATAAAAGTCCTTATAAATATTTATTGAATTTATAGGAAAAAGGGGGGTTGTGCAGAGGTGGGGGATGGTCTCTTCTGTCATGCCTGAAGGGAGAGGACTAGAGAGAATGGTCATAAGATGAGACCGGGAGATTCAGATTAGATATTAGGAAAAATGTTTTCACTGTTAGGATGGTCAGGCATTGGAATAGGTTGCCCAGGGAGGTGGTGGAGTCACCAGCCCTGGAAGTGTTTGAGGTGTCTGGATCTGGCACTGGAAGGTATGGTTTAGGCTTACAGCAGAGTGGCAGGTTAGTGGTTGGACTTGATGATCTTAGAGGTCTCCTCCAACCTTGATGATTCTATGATTCTAAAAGACTTTGCTGAATTATTAGGTGCGTTTCTTTAGGGAGCAAGGATGAAACAAGGTAAATACAAATGTGTATTTCTTTTAGTCCAAATATTTAATGCAAATGAGACTGAGGCATTTAAGTCTAGGTTAGAGTAACAGAAAAATAAACTTGAAATGCTTTTCTTTTTGGGGTCTTTGCTAAAGCTGCCATCTTAAAAAAATCTAAATTATGGCAACTAGGCAGTAAGATTCCTGCAAGCTGTCTAGTAGGTGTATCCCTTCACATTTGTGCTTGGTCTCTTTAAACTCAGTTCATCCTCTGTAACTTCATACATTGGTATAGGCTAAAGTTATAACTGGAAATGTTTTAGTGCCTTAAAACCTCACTTAAAGGTTCCTGTCACTTCAGAAAACTTAACAATTTTCAAAAATTCTTACCAGTAATTACCTCAGCTGTTAAGTATATCTAATGCTCCATGTATGTTGGAAATTATTCCATATGACTTGCTGAATATCAGTGCTCAGGGTGTGTGGGTCAAGAAGACTTACCCGCTGCAGTACCTGAGGGCAGAAATGGTACTTCAGGTGCATGGCAAGAAAAACAGTCATGATCAAACTCCCAGCAGTGCCATTATGGTAGGCACACATTGCATTATGACTGGAGGCCACAAAATGCTGTGCTGGCAAACCTGCTGAGAGGCAATGCTGATAACATGTCAGAAATTGTTTAGAAGGAGTAAAGGAGTAGCCAAAGCACAGATCAGTGTGTCCTGGCTTGCAAGACATAGAGTGAGATGTGAGGCAATTCAGTGTAAAAGCCAAGACATGTAAGCTATATTTTTAGCTCCTTGCCCAGTAGCTCTTCAAAACCTCACAGAAGAATTCAGATAAAGTTCTAAATTTTATTTTTGTGGTACTTAAAGCTTTTGCACATCTTTAAAACTGAGCTCTCTGACTCATATTTAAGTATGTGCAGGCACTGCTACCTGTGGCTGTGGGCGGATGCTCTTCTGTAGCAGTGGCTCTGAGGGGATTTGTCTTATTTGTGCTATTTCTCCCATCTTCCTCTCTTCTTTTTAGCAACCTGTTGCAAAGTCCGGCATTAATGCATGAACGAGTATATTGACTGTTCCCTTATTAAATTAGAAGTGATAAAGTTATTTTATGTTTAAGCCTGATTATGATGGGAAGACACTGAATTTTCTGGTGCTTATCAATCTGGTTTAGATTTTTATGTGTCCTTTTTATGTTTCAGGTGTTGCTGCTTACGTTGGCTGGCAAAGCTCATCAATACTCAAACCTCTGCTTCAGCAAGGTCTCAGTGATGCTGAAGAGTTTGTCATATATAAAGCCCTCAATGCACTTACTTGTATGTGCCAGTTGGGGCTCTTGCAAAAGCCTCATATTTATGAGTTTGCTTGTGATATTGGTAAGTTGGAATACTGGAGAATACCTTGTTTTCCTAGTTTAGAAAAGAAATCTTAGTTCTGCGTAAAGCTTAACCATCAGCTTAGCTGGCCAGAATACAAACCTATAGTACTGGTTTAGAACCTGCACAAAATTGTGTTAAGAAACTAATGCTAGTTGGACCATGTTATTGCTCAGAATTCTGAAATAATAATTTTGGTGGAACAAGTTGGAAGCATCTTCTGATTTTTTAAAAACATTCTGTTTTAAGATCTTTCCTTGTTCTACATTCCAACCTGCTACAAAGAAAAAATCCTGGTTGCTTCTGGTAGTCCATCAGGCACATAACTTGCAAACTTGTACCCATCATCCTTTGAGGATGAGGGAATTCAGACAATCACGATCCTTTCTCATCCTATTTCTAGCACCATAAAAACCCATTAACTCAGTACAGCCTCGAATGCAGTCTTTCCTTCCTCATCAGGTTTATCAGTTTAATTTAGATGTGTCCAAGATTTACCAGCTATTTATGGAAAAGAAAATACCAACTGATCTTTTGAGATGTAGGCTGCTTCTTCTTAATGTTATGGTTTTTCAAATGCCCTCAGAATTTGGAGCAGATGATCTGTGAATGTATCTCATGACTAGATACAGTCCCTTGATTACAATTGTTAAAAACCACATAATTGAGAGGGACTGGTAATCTTAGACTATAAGTATTGACTCTTCAAAGAAGAGAGGAGAAGAAGGTAGGAATAAAGTATTTACTTTTAAAAAAATCACTGCTATTAGTAATCTCCATAATTGTCTAGAATAAGGTGGAGATTTGTTTTTGGATTAGTCTCCATTGCAAATCTGTAGTTAACAATTAGGGACTGAAATGAACAAATAGGGAAAATATGCATTTTGGCAACAACAAGGAAGCTGAGCAGCATGAGCACAGTGAAGTCCATGAAATAATTTCCTCAGTATGAGTGTTTTAGCCTTGGTGCTCTGCAGGAGGGAAGGCTTAGTTTAAGGGTAATTCTAGGGAAGGAAATTACATCACAGGCTGCCATATACAGAAGGCTCTCTCTTCTATAGGAATGATATATTTTAACAGCCTATTTTTCTTTCAGCACCTTTCCTATGTCATCCTAATCTTTGGATACGTTATGGTGCAGTTGGGTTTATCACTGTGGTAGCACAGTATTTGAACATTGCTGATGTCTACTGCAAGCTAATGCCATACCTCCATCCTTTTATCACACAACCAATAATACAGGTAATACTTGAACTAATGTTAATGTGACTATATCTTGATTAGCCATGATTCTTAAGTCTGTCTTGACCATGGTCCTGCCTATAAGAATATTAGATTACTTTTTTTTTTTTTTAAATTAAGATTAGGGGTGATACAAGGTTTTGATCTCTGCTGGCAGATTGACAGAATAGCCATGCTTTCCATGTTTGAAATACTGGCTCGAATTTGTTGCAAAATGCAAAACATTTTACAAAGCCTAAAATCAACAGTCTTTGGTTCAAACCTTTCTCTGCATTCTTCAATCAAACTCTTGCAGTCCTGTTCCAGTTTATAGGAGTCTAAAAGGCATGAAAAGTTGTCTGTGAAATAAGTGGGTTTATGTTCTTCATCTACGAGGGTGAGTATTCCAGCCCTGCCCTGGTAATACATTCGGCTGTGGGCCTGACCCTCTGAAAACATGAACAGACTGTTAGGTAGTGGTTATTATGCCTGTGACTTCAGCAGCACCACTCCCTTGTTTCTGTGCTTTGCCAAGGGTAAGGGCAGAGTGCTCAGCATGAATGAATTAAGGCATTTCATAGATGGACAGGTCTAGGAATGACCTGCCTGCTGCTGGTACTATGTTCATATAGGCATCTTTGCATATAACTGTGTAGTTATATGTGTAGACTGCATCTCTCAGGTGTTTAAATAGTTAAGAAACAGTTGCAGTACTTACACTGAGAAATGCATCATGTATTTAACATTTTCTTGTAAACCATGCAGGTGGTAACTGCAATAAAATAACATTTTTCCATGTTTACATCTCCTTAGACACCTTGTGCTGTGTTTTAGGCATTGATTGATAAATTTATGTCTTGTTCACTTCCTGTTTCATTTTAGTATGTAAATCTTTTCTTTTCTATGCAACATTAAATATAGTAAGGAAGTAGGGGGTAACATTGCTATGCAACATTAAGTATATAGTAAGGAAGTAGGGGGTAACATTAAGTTGAGTTGTAATAAAGTCCTCACTCTGGACTCATTTTTAAGTTGCTTTTCATGCAGACAGTAAGCTATCAGAAGCACATTATAGGAATAAGGGTAGGAGAATGGAGAAATTATGATATGGCCAACACAGATCTTATTTTCAAGAAAGGAGACAAGTTGAATCTAGATTATTGGTACAATGATGTGCAATAATTTTGAAGTCCTATATTATTTTATCTTGTTGTAAGCTTGAAGGCATCTCTCCAGGTCTAGACTGCAAGCTGGTTTTTAGAACAGGCATTCAGAGGAAGAGATTGTTTTATATACTAATGTTTGCAGTTGTCCAGTTACTGATGTTCAGAATAGGAGAAAAAAGGTGGCAAACTTGTAGGCATGAGATGACAGCACTTGCTATTAGATTTCCTTGTGTTTATATCACCATGTTGACTGTTCTCTCTTTTTGAATTGCAGATAGATAAAGAAATAGTCTTGCTAAGTGTACTTAAAGAGCCTGTCAGCCGTTCCATATTTGATTATGTCTTAAGATCAAAGGATATCACAAGCCTCTTCCGACACCTTCACATGCGACAAAAGAAGAGAAGTGGAGCTCTCCCTGACTGCCCACCCCCAGAGGATCCTGCCATTGCACAGCTGTTGAAGAAGCTTCTTTCACAAGTAATTGGTTTTTATTTGTACTTTGAAAGTCAGGCTTGAGATGCTTGGGCTCTGTAGACCTCCACAGGCCTTGACCTTGTAGTTGCTGCTGTGAGGGACTCCCAGACTGAGTTTCTGACCCTGCAAACCATTAACTTCGTTGATTTTGGTATATGCTTGTGGGACAAGGAGTTCAGGAGTTAGGATTTTTGAAAGATCTGCCAGATATAGAGCAAATACAATCTGCATCTTTAAAAAATGTTTGTGTGTCTCAAATTTCTGACATATCTGTGATGTGGCAGCATTAGAGAACATGTGCTGTGTTGGATAGAGGAGTATGCATTTGCCAAAGATAAAGTTGCAGCATCGAAAGCAAATGAAGCTGGAAAGTCTTGAGACTTATGTGTGAAGAGAGGAGCATAAAGAATCACCCACACAATGTAGTGAGAACTGGGAAGAGAAAGGACTGCAGCTGTGTGTGGGGGGGTTTTTTTCTCTATGGCTTCTGTGCTGTAAGCATGGCCTGGGTGGCAGTTAAGTAGATTGCAGCAGGTAGTGATCCGACATTAAATGCTATTCTGCCTTTTCACAGTTCCTGAGGATGAAAGGTGTTCTTACACTACAGCAACTTACCTAATGTCTTGTATGAGCAATGAACTGATGCTTTAAATTCTGGGGATGTGCTCTCTCCTACCACTTCTGAGCCAGTCATTAATTTTACTGCTTTATAAATCCTCATGCCTTGAATCATGTTCTTGCTCAAAAGTAAATAATATTACCTTTTCTTTTATTCTGTAGGGGATGACTGAGGAGGAAGAAGACAAACTGTTAGCACTGAAAGACTTTATGTTAAAATCAAATAAAGCTAAAGCAAATATAGTGGATCAGAGCCACCTGCATGACAGCAGTCAGAAAGGAGTGATTGACTTATCAGCTCTGGGAATAACTGGGAGACAAGTGGATCTTGTTAAAACGAAGCAGGAGCCTGATGACAAACGTGGTTGGTATATTTTGTGGTCTGTATAAAGTATAGCCTGCCTTTCAGGGTGTCATCAGTAATTCAGTCTACGTGACTATCACCATCCTCACTGAGTTTGCAATAAGAAAGTTACTGCTACTGTTTGAAATGTGAAGTGGTGGAATGTTCTCTGGATCATTGAAATATGGGGATTTATTTTTTGTCCCCTGAGAATATTTTAATTTATTTTGACCGCATTGGCAGTAATAGTATGTGCCAGTTGTTCAGCTGGTTGTGACAAACAGGCCTCTAGTGACTTATGGTAACAATGTACACGTTGAAGGCTACATTTCTGCTTTCACTGCTCTCAAAAAGTGCTGAGCTCTTTAACTGAAAATCCTGAATGTTTTCTTGAGGTAACCTGGAGAAGACTGAAATCTCCTCAGGCTGGCACTGAGGACTTGCCAACTATTGCTCACCCATCAAGTACATGCTTTTTAGATTTAGAGTTCTTTAGCTTCTTACCTGCTTCCATTTTACTTTTTTGCCTACTCCTCTTTCAACTCAGAAAAACTCTTACATTTCCCTGCTCAGCTTTGAAATCCACTTGCTGCTAAGTATTCTTGGCATCCTCAAAATGCTTCTTTTCCAGACAGTCTGAGCTTCCTCTTTGTGCTCTCAAGCTTGTAAGTCCTTCCAATGTTGCATTACTGATAGGTTCTGTGTTTAAACCCTATAGCTATTGCAGTCTCCTTTCCAGAATTAGGATGTTTGTCTGCAAATGTTTTGCATATCATTTTAAAGAAAAGTACAGAGGTATAGCATTTTTCATTTTTTTGCATTCTTGATTCAGGAGTTGATGGGATATAAGTTAGTGTATATGAAATCTGAAGTGATTTGTTTCACCCAAAACTGTCGCCTTCAAAGCCGTCACACCTTTAACTTTTTACTGACTTTGTCTAAATTTAATTTGTCTTGTGTTTTCATTTGGCTTTTATATTTTACAATTTTAAGTGACTCTAAACGAATGCTGAAAATAAGTAGATTTCCTATTTATTGATAGCGTTCTTGAATCCACAGGTGATGTTGCTATTGTGATGGAAAATTACATATGACACTGACAATGATTTGCATACTGTGTTGTTAACAGATTTTTCCCTGATTGTCCCTAACCATTGCAGGATGGTTGAACTAGATGACTTTTGAGGCTTCCTTCCAACCCAAACCCCTCTATAATTCTATAAAAATAAATTATCATATGGAGTCTAATACTGCAGCCTCTTAGATAAAGTTTCCCTATAGTGGAATGACTTACATTGCATGAGTCAACTATAGGATTACGAACAACTTAGCAGTAGGGTTTTCTCTGTATATAAAGATCAGTCTGACATGGAATCATTGGACTTGCATGTAGTCTGAAAGTAATGACCAGCCTGAGTGAATGTTGTCATGGTAATGTTGAGAGGGGTCTTTTTTTCCTTCTTCTTTCACCTCCTCCCTCCCTCCAAACTGCTTATAGCTAGAAAACATGTAAAGCAAGATTCAAATGTAAATGAAGAATGGAAAAGCATGTTTGGGTCCCTGGAACCACCAAACATCTCCCAGCCAATATCCAAAGGACATGGACAAACTACTGATCCTGAAGCCATCCAGGCTGGGAAGCCACTTCGTTCAGAGTCCTCGGCTGGCATTTGTGCCACTTTGTCATCCTCCCCGCAGGTATACCTGAAAAAGATTGTGTTCTCATCTTAAACTGAAATTATTCAATTGTTTTAAAGTCAAGTTGGGACTACAGGGATGTGATGTCCTTGTTGTGTTTGGGGATTATTTGGTACTGGTCATGCTATTGTTTAGCATCTTATCCAGCGGAGTCACTAGTTTTCAAGTTCTTATTTTTAAAATAGGAACTGAGAGAGGCTGAAAGTGAGTTTAGTCCCTTGAGCTAACTAATAGATGCTCTGCACAAAGAATTGGGACTTTCTGGATTGGACAAATATTAGGTTAGCTGTTCTGGTAGGGGAGGCTTTTCCTCAAATTGCATGCCCTGATGCATACTGTGACAAAGAGATGTCGTGATTTAGCTTGGAACTAGTGTATCACATCATAGCTGCATTTAGACATCCTCTACCTGCAATACTTTGTACTGGCTACAGAAGGATGGTTTGGGAGTCCTGCAGGCTGTGGAGGCATCTCTTGACACTGAACTCTGTTTTCTATTTGGTTACTAGCTGGAGATTAACTTTTGCTAGCTTTAAATGAGTGTCCACTCTGAACTGAATGGGAAACACTTCACACTTTTTTTTGTAAAGCCCAATATAAATGAATGATCATTTGAGAGCTAACCTGTAATTCTGTCAGTTCAAGAGCAACAACTGCTTCTGTAATAATCACATGAAGAGATGTGCACAACACATCAGTTTCTTCAAATAGAATACAGAACAGACTAGGCAAACAGGGTAGAATAAGTGAATGGTTAAGATTTTCTATAAATAACGATTTTCACTATTTGTAATTGTTTTCACACAAGCATGAAATTTTTCAATGTTAATTCATTGCTAATTGATTCAATAAAAAAAGATTTTTCCATTTTTCTTCAGTATATGTCCCAGAAATCTTAAGAGCAGGATTTATCTGTGTGTAGAATGTAAGGCACATATTTTTAAAGTGCGGATCTCTTACAGGCATCTGATGGAACAGTTGTTCAACCCAGGAAACCCACCATGCAGGTACTGAGCAGTACAGCGTCCCCATCTGCACACCAGCTACGCATCACCACGTGCAAAACCGAACTTCAGCAGCTGATTCAGCAGAAGCGAGAGCAGTGTAATGCAGAGAGACTTGCCAAACAAATGATGGAGAATGCTGAGTGGGAGAGCAAGCCCCCACCTCCAGGTAAATCACAGGCCACTGAGGCTGTTATACAAAAAATTATATATGTATATTTTACTTACATATATAATTTGAGTCAAAGTATCATCATCTCATGGAAGAAATACAAACGATGAGGAAAAGAGGAAATCATTAGTTTAGGAAACATGCCTACTATGCAGAAGACCTATTTGGCAAAATACATGGATGGCCTATTGTCTAATTTAGAATTAAACAAGTGCTTCTACCTTTCATATTTAAAATACCTTAGGTCTGTGTTTTCAGTGCCATCTGTGCTTTGCAGCTGTAATGACTGTATCCTGATATCGCCGTTAGTGGATGACTCTAGGGAGACTTTCATGTTCCCAGTTAGTTATGAAACCAACACCAGACTTCATGGTTTTGTTATTCCCTGTAGGATGGCGTCCCAAGGGATTGTTGGTCGCTCACCTTCATGAACACAAGTCTGCAGTGAATCGCATTCGGGTCTCTGATGAGCACTCCATTTTTGCCACTTGCTCCAATGATGGCACAGTAAAAGTCTGGAACAGTCAAAAAATGGAAGGAAAAACCACTACAACCAGGTATCTTTGAAATTCATGGGATTTGGGGGCTGCTGTTTTACAGTGCAAAATAAAGTAGAGCAGGGAGCAAAATATGACTCACTTGTGGGTGTGCTGGAGATAGCAGTAAGGAAATATACTTGCATTCCTCTTGGCATGCAGCTATAAAATATTAGATTGCTATTTCAAGTAGTTAATAAAAGAAAAAAATCACTATCAAGTGCAAAGGGAATGCTTTGCAGTCATAGTAATTACAGGCTTTTTGATTTAATTTCTATACATAAATAAATATATTCTGGTGTTGTTGTTTAAAGCTAACACAGGCTTTGTTGCTTTCTCATTTTGGAATACTTAGAAAATTGTTGTTTTCAGAGTGCTCTCAAGAGCTATTGGTTTCAAGTAGATGTTTGAGAGAAGTAATTATTTTTTGTAAGTGTCACCAAGAATTTCCTTTTTTTCTCTCCCTGTCTCTGCCATTTAGATCAATTTTGACCTACTCTCGAATTGGAGGACATGTGAAGACACTTACATTCTGCCAGGGCTCACATTACTTGGCTATAGCTTCAGATAACGGTGCCATCCAGCTTCTTGGTATTGAAGCTTCAAAGCTGCCTAAATCTCCAAAAATTCATCCAATACAAAGCAGGTATGTACTTAGAGCAGTTAAATCTCTCCACAGAGCTCAAGCCGACTGTATATTCCTCAATTAGATCCTTTAATTTGCTCTAGGCTTCCTGCTGGCTGAGCCCAGACTGCCCTGGAAGGTTGTAATCCGTGATTTTATCCTGCTCCATAAAGAAGGGTTGACATGCAACTATGCAGTGCTGAGCATTCTTAGCTCTAAGTTATTGGCGCCTCCTTGACACTGAACTCATTATGAGCTTGAAACAGTCCACCTGAATAGTTCTCAAGTCTTTTATTTATGCACTGGGATTGGTAGTTTCTTACCTCCTTTGTTATGATGTTAATACTTGCAAAGTAATTTTAAGGGTTCTTTTACAGGCCATTAGATAAGTATTTACAGATGTACAATGTGGTTTGGCCTCAGACCTGCAATTTTTCTCCCAGACTTTTAATGTGATAAGGTGTCAAAGATATGGGGAATAGGATACTATTTGGAGGAGCCTTTGAGGGTGGTTTAGGTCTTTCTTACCTCTCTCTGTATGAGCAGTTTTCATGCATTTGGCACTGGTTCAGTAGATTAATCTTCCATCCTAATGAAGGACATGTCCAGGCCTCAGCAAATCTAGCAACCATCTCAAAGACATCTTTCCTGTTCAAAGTAAACATAAGGTGTCTGTCTCAAATGTCCTCTCTTTTGGGGGATTAAGTTCAGGAATTAAATAAGTCAAATCTAGTGGAGATAGAAAATCTGGTATGTAGTTTCCCATTTGGCACACACTGCATTTGTGTCTGAAGAAGGTGTCCATTTTGCACACACCATAATTGACTGATGACAGTGCTGGCAGAATAACATAGAGCGGGGTGTTCCAGCCTGTATACTCTGGGTAGATGAATGTCTGATAAACTTGGGGCATAAATCATAGAATCACAGAATGGTGTGGGCTGGAAGGGACCTTAGAGACCATCTAGTTCCAACCCCCCTGCCATGGGCAGGGACACCTTCCACTTGACCAAGTAGCTCAGAGCCCCATCCAAGCTGGCCTTGAACACTTCCAGGGATGGGGCATCCACAGCTTCTCTGGACAACCTGTTCTAGTGCCTTACCATCCTCACAATAAAGAATTTCTTACTTACATCTCACCCTACTCCCTGTCAGTTTAAAGCCATCATGCTGTGCTGGTGCACTCCCCCCAGCCCCACTCCAGGCCACACTATTGTTTGTGTGTCCTATCACTACAAGCCCTTGCAAAAAGTCCCTTTCTAGCTCTCTTGTACACCCTCTTTAGGTACTGGAAGGTGCTATAAGATCTCCCTGGAGCCTTCTCCAGTCTAAACAACCCCATCTCACTTAGCCTGTCTTTATAGGAGAGGCGCTCAGGTTCTCTGATCATCTTCGTGGCCCTCCTCTGGGCTTGATCCAACGTGTCCGTGTCTTATGTTAGGGTCCCCAGAGCTGGACACATACTCCAGGTGGGGTCTCATGAGAGCAGAGCAAGAGAAGGAGAATCCCCTCCCTTGACCTGCTGGTCATGCTTCTTTTGATGCAGCGCAGGATGTGGTTGGCTTTCTGGGGTTCGAGCACATATTGCCAAGCCTTTTTGAGCTTCCTGTCAACCGACACACCCAAGTCTTTCTCCTCAGGCTGCTCACAATCCTCTCTCTGCCCAGCCTGTATTTGTGCTTGGGATTGCTCTGACCCAGGTGCAGGGCTGAGAGACCCAGAGCACAGAGCTATGCTTATGTTTGCAAAGTGCTGCTGACAGCATTTTACTAGCCTTGGGAGACCATAAATATATTTTGTACTAAAATTGGAAAGTTGTTTCTGGCAGATGCCTTGAGAACTGACATGAAGAGGAAAACACTGCTCAGCTTAAGCTATTGGAAGGAGTCTTAAATCTGGAGAGAGTCATACCTGTTTGTAAATTGGTTTATTCTTTTAACCCAGGTCCTTAGATCTGAAGGATGATGGCTGTGTGGTAGATATGCATCACTTCAATTCCGGGGCCCAGTCAGTACTGGCTTATGGTACAGTTAATGGATCTCTGGTTGGATGGGATTTGCGTTCTAGCAGCAATGCTTGGACACTGAAGCATGATTTGAAGTTGGGCCTCATAACTTCATTTGCTGTGGACATACACCAGTGCTGGCTGTGTATTGGTAAGCCTGTATTTCTTGTTTGCTTCTCTCTTTTCCCTACCCTCCCCCTTCCTTCTGGTTTTCTGTTACAATAACTATAGCTCAAGCTTCTGCTTGATCTGATTTGACTACAATATGCTTTTCTCAAACAAAAGGAGAGAAATACCTTCTCATCTGTTTGTGGGAAGTATGCTGCCTGCTAAGTACTTGAGGCTGAAATCCATCTCCCTAGGAACAGAGCACAGGGCTATGGGCAAAAACTCTTATTTATCTCTCTGACTATGGGGAGCTTTTTCTCACCAGGAACAAGCAATGGTACCATGGCATGCTGGGACATGAGGTTTCAGTTACCTATCTCCAGCCACTCTCATCCTTCCAAGGCCCGAATCAGACGCCTGCTCATGCATCCTGTCTATCAGTCCTGGGTAATTGCAGGTAAAAGATATCGTAAACTAACTGTACAATTGCCAGAGGTTGTGATTAAAGCAGCTTTTGTTTCAGCTTCAGCTTCAAGCCCTGGAGGCAGGTGAAAAGAAAAAAGGTAGCATTAAGCCATTGTGAAAATGACAGACATCCTTTACAATTCTCATCTTCTGAGCATTGCAGCTCTCATGAGGGGCCCTCCCTGTGTGCTATCTACCACATCACTTTTTAAGGACAAAGTGTTATAAAACTGAAACTTAAGGCATACAGTAAGTTGATGGGAATTCCGCCACCACCTTCTGGAGGGCAGAGACTGAAGGTTGTCCCATTCCAATTCCCACTTGAACCTAATCCATTTGTGTCATGGGTTAGAGCTTTCAAAAATATCCCAGGATTCCTCATCTGGTATGCTCAAAGCTGATTCATCCTCACTGCACGTAGCACTGTCATAGACTTCTATGTGTTTGCGTCAGGAACACATCCTGAAATGGACAAGTAGCTGAAACTAATCCTACAATAACAATGTTAAGTTGCTGTAAAAGGAGAATAATTGGAGTTTCATATTTTACTTGCTTCTTAGGTTTCATTTCTTATTTTAGTTATTAACCACTCTGGGATAAAAAAAAAAAAAAAGAAATCTCTTGAAAATACATACAAATCAAGCAAGATTTTTAGTTTGTTTCCTCCCTGCTAAAGACTAAACAAGTGACCAAGTTCATCGTTTTGGAATATGATTAAAAAGCCCTTGCCTGCCACGTGGCTGCCAGGCAAGTAAACAGTCCCTTGAACAGAATTCTTTGCGTGTCCACACCAAACATGGGTGTGGAACTGCATTGTAGTTAGTGAAGTCTGTAACTTTGGATTGCTCTTACCTGCACTGGAGTATTCTCCAAAGTCCCTGATGGCCATGCTGAGCAAATCATCTGTCCTTCTCAAATAAGGATGAGAAGTTATCTGGGGAGGAAAATGAGGATCTTACACATTTTTAAAAGGGTTGGGGATTAAATCAGGTTTCATTTAAACTCTCTTAAATTAAGCACTTTTAACTATAGTGAGGCTACTTCCAAGGAGTAAGCCAAACTGCTAATACAAGACTAACACAAATACTGCAGGGAGCGAGTGGAGAGTGTCTCTCTGTTGTATCCTCTATGTCATGTCAGTAGAACAAGTAGCAAGAGCCAACCTGTTTTAAACTTTTTGCATTGGCTGTATCTTTGTTGTAGCTGTTCAAGGCAACAATGAAGTCTCCATGTGGGATATGGAAACTGGTGATCGACGCTTCACTTTGTGGGCCAGCAGTGCACCACCTCTCTCAGAACTGCAGGTCTGGTCTCTTACTTTTCCAGTTTCTGTTGTGTATCTGTCTAGAACAACCTTAGACTCCATACTGTGTATCAGTACAGTTACCTGCCTTGAAGGCTGTGCCACTTTGGCACAAAGAACCTGCCCTGAGATTTATTTTGGCACCATAATAGTTTTGTTTATCAGAATTAAACCCCCTTTTTAAAACAGCAGTGTAATTTGAATCTTCCCCTATCTGTGGAATGTACTTGTAACACTCACTACACCCAGTCATGTTCTTAGAAAACCAGGGAACTGGTTCAGTCTGTAGAGATTATGACAAAGCCAAAATTCCTGGTGTAGCATCTTGTAGTTATTTTTATTTGCTATTTCTGGAATTCTGCATACTTGTGTAAGCATCTCTCTTCTGCAGATTCTCTCTGTAATATAATGTCACTACTACACTTAACTGCTAGTTAAGTAATAGCTCTTCTTCAAGGAGTTAATTAAGGAAGGAGCAGTCAGGGATATTGTTCTGAAATCACAAATATGTACACAAAAATGACCACAGCTGCTTCTATAAATGTTGTAAATGTGTATCTGGAAACTACTTAAGCTTAAATTTGTACGTGCTACAAAGATTGCAGGTTGAGGTCATTTTGGTCATGCACTTTGCACACAGGGAGCTCTGTGATCTAAGCTAGTTTTCTGTTGTTTATCTGTCCCTTAATGCCTTCATAGCCTAAAAATTTAAGCATTCTTGTGCTTTTCAGTGTGATTTGCTGTCTGGTTCTTTTAGAAATAATCTCTCTCATTTGCCATCATTGAGAATGTAATTTCCAAGATTCAAAAAGCTAAACATTATAGAGTTAAATCTGTTGCATTGCTCTGTAAAATGTAAGGGAGCAATTTACATTAGTATATTAAAATGTGACCTGTTAAGGTGACTTGGCATTTGCCAGAAAGATTTGGAAATTGGGTGGATGAATGTGGCAAAGAATGCATTCCCTTTCTGATACATGGCAACATCTATTGCTGCTAAATTATTTTTATATATCCCTTTTCCCTACTAGCCTTCTCCTCACAGCATCCACGGAATATACTGTAGTCCGGCGTCTGGTAATCCCATATTACTGACAGCAGGCTCAGACATGAAAATAAGGTAATAAACCTAACAACTTTCTTGTTTGTCACCCTCCCCCCCATGCTGATGGTGTACTAAATTTTGCCAAGCATTGCCTAAGTAATCGCCGAGAAGGCAAAACAGTAATGCTGAAGATGTGTTCATTAGTAAGCATCAGTGAGCTGAGGAATTGTTCTTGGCAAAAGTAGTGCAAAACTCAGTGTTTCTCTGAAACACAATATGTGCCCTTTTGTGAAGCTCTTGACAGGCTGCATGACAAGAAAAAGCAATAACTCATGTGTGAGCTTGATATGGGTGTAGATTTGTCTGCATCGCTCTCTTCCAGTAAATGCAGAAAGCATATAGCATTTGTTGCCTGCTCATCATAAGAGCAAGACCACTTTTAACCAGCTGTTTTAAGCTGATAAAACTGAACATCTCACCCTGATTTTTTTTCTGTTTAGGTTTTGGGATCTAGCCTACCCTGAGAGATCATATGTTGTTGCTGGAAGTTCTAATTGCCCATCTGTTTCCTACTACAGGAAGATAATTGAGGGCACAGAGGTGGTTCAGGTATTTTGCTTTATTTGATAGACACCTATTCTGCTTGCCTTTTGGATGGCCTCATGGATTACATTAAATACATGATGACTTTAATTATAACTCTCTCACTCTTACCTTTTATGGATGGTGTCAGCATTGCATTTTCAGGCAGTGGGGAAGAAGCTATTTCAAAGAAAAACATCATTCATTTTTGACAGAATCAGGCTGAAGAATACTACTTACATGCAGAAAACAGTCATATATTTCTTTTGGATATTGGAATTCAGAGTTTTAACCCTTTTGACTTTGGAATGCCTTTTGTGTAGGAATGTGAAATGTATTGGCACCAAAATAATAGAGTATCTGAATACTGCAGCTTTTATTACATCCTTCAGAATGACTTTTGGAACTGGCAGTGTTGCCACTTGTTGAATAGCACAATGTTGTTTCAGTACAGTAGAATGAATGCTGCTTCAAAGCTGACTAAAAAAAATGCCAGTGGGGGTCTAGCCTATGCACTGTGATATTTTAGTGTTTCATCTGAAGTACTTGAACATTATTATATTCATTCTATTGAAGCAATTTTTATAAAAACCTTGGGGGAGCCAAGATGTGTGTGTTGCTGTAGCTTTTTTCCCCCCTGTAGGAATATCAAATCTAAGCATAATTGAAATAAATCTGAGAAAAAGTATTGCCCTAATCAAAGAGATATAATGCTAGCTCAGATTAAGATTAGGTTGTGTGTGATGAACATAAGACAAGGAGTATCCCAAGAAGACTGTCAAAGGGTATGAGGTTTTATGTTTGGGTATTTTTTGTTTGATTGTTTGAAGAGGTTTTTTGGTCTTCTTACACTGACAGCCTAATAATGTGTGAAAATTTCCCTTTGCAAATGCTCACCTTTCTGTAAATAATAATTTATTACTTTGTTTTTATACAGGAAATTCAGAACAAGCAAAAGATGGGCCCCACTGATGAGACCCCTCGGAAGGGGCCAGAGTCTCTCCCAGTTGGACATCATGATATTATCACAGATATCGCAACTTTCCAGACCACACAAGGGTTTATAGTAACTGCATCAAGAGATGGAATTGTAAAAGTGTGGAAATAAAAGCTGTACTAATATATAGTATGTAAATATTTGTAATAAAGAAATAGTGTTATAATGAAGTTTTCAAGGACTGTTTCCAGTTAATGGAATGGAATGGACTTTAAAGACTATAAAGGCGATGATAAAATCAGTTACCTGTATCCTACCACCCTGTTAGCACTTCTTAATCACTTATATTAAGGTTTATTGGTATCTATAGCATTTCCTTGAGATACCAAACAATCTGTGAAGAAATCATTTAGCCTGGATTTAACTGCATTGTTCTTCAAGAATCAGAAAATTATTTAAATATGTCCCACATTACACATTCTAAACGTGCACAAAGCAAAGAGCTGGTACAAGTACTTCAGTGTCTCACTGCTCCTGTGTTGCATCTGAGAAATGAAATGAGAATCAGTGCACTAATGTCCCTGTACATTCTAATAACTGTAATAAAGTCCACTTGAGCTTCCCCATTTGGTACTTGGGTTTCTTTACATCTGTGGTTCCTCTGCAGTGATTCTGTAGACTCAGCTGCCAGAGCCATTGGGCTGTTAATTGTCATTTGAGATCAGCTTAACCTTGTGTCACATCCTCAGCTGTCCTTTGTGCCTTGCATCCAGCTTGCTTTTAACCTGAGTCTAATCCTAAACTTTGCTGCCCTGGGAACCTAAAGCAGCACCACCAGGATGATGTCTGTTGTCTTTCAGTATAGGTATCAGAAATAGACAAAACACAAACTTGCAGCAGGAACTGTTTTTTCATTATGCAATATTCATGTGAGAGGCAGTGCTGGAGGTCAGACAGGGGCAGTAAACTCTCTCACCTCTTTTTCACTGTCTGTTCCAATTATTCAGATTTCCAAATCCTTTTCAGTCTCTGTGTCTTAAGCTTTACACTATGAGGTAATTTATTCCTTACCTGCATTCCCAGGTTCTACTTTTCCCCTTAAAACAGGTGATTTACTCCCACTCCATGAATGGACTCAGAAGGTAACTGAAGACAAACAACATGAATTTGACATATATTTCTGGAGCATAGCTGGAAAAAGAAATGGAAGCCTCCTGCTCTGCAGACAGTCTGCTGGAAGCAGGGAATGCTCTTGTGAACTGGGTTCTTTGAAGAGACAACATGTGAAATAATGACTTGTTTAAAAACAACCTCAGAATTCCCTGGGAAAAGAAACTTGACTGAGGATGATGGCTTCTAGAGACTCAACCTGCTTTTCCTTTGTGCATTGCTTGCATAATTCAGTGTAGCAGATAGACATTGCCCCAAGTTTAATATGTTCAAAAGAGGAAGTGAGCTCAAGAACAGTGTGACATTTCTTTATAGACCTTATTATTTTTGCTCTTTGCTATGCTAAACAAAGTTTTTTCTTTGCTTGTACAGAGGAGCTGTTACTGTCCCTTTATGTTGTATGAATTCAGGAATAAAGTAGGTTTTCTCAGTCCTCTGTATCACAGAGTAGCAAGGAAAAGGGTAGTTAGTTAAGCTTTGGTCTAGTGCTGTATCCATTTGTCATGCAGCTCTAAACAGGTCCTCATACACCTGATGAGAGGAATCACCTCTTTGGCTGCACTGGTTGGTTAATGGTTTTGCCCACTGACAAAACAGTTTGATGAAAGAAGCAGATCAAATTTCATTTTTGGGCATTTTAATCCACTGACACCATATGAAGCTTATAAGATATTTTAAGTAGTATGAAACACAGGATTATTTTAAGTGGTGAGTATAGTATGAAAAGAACTTGCATTATAATTGTTTCTCTCAATGTTAAAATAATTTATAGTCAACATTAGAAGGCTATAAACCAGGGTAAGCAATGATAAACTGTGGGTTTTGCCCATATAAGTAATGTTAAAAAAAAAAGCCAATTATGTCCATTCTTACAAGAAACTGTCAGACTTGAGTGGGACCACTGGTAGGGAAATGAGCTTTGGCCCAGCCTTGAGAAAAGTCAGCGTTGCCAAGCAGCACAGTTACAGTTTCAGCAGTTCTTATCAAGATCTGTCAAGAAAGTGAAACAAAGAAACCAACTTTGCCATCAAATGACTCATCAGAATTTGAACTCACTTTCAAAGGTTTTGATGTTCTACTGTTTATAACATTGATACACTAAAGCTTGAGCAACAACAAGGGTATGTTTCTCCATTTATCTGTTATTAGGTTGCCCACATTCTCACTTTCTCAAAGTGACGTTGTTGATACATTTCAAAGTATCTTTTTATCTGCATACACAGAATTCCTAACACAAATTATTTACACCCGGGGAAGCAGTGGTTAGCAGGGCTGCAGTTAGGTTTTGTTGAAGTTAAGTTCTTAATGTTTGTGTAGAGATTAATTTAATTTTTTTATTAAAAAAAATTTCTTTTCCATATCCATTTGCTGGCCATAGTGAAGAGCCAAGGTGTGGTGTCAGTTATACTGTGTTTTTTTTCCTCTAAACCTGTTCTGTTAAGAAGCTGCAGAGCAATAGAGGCTGGAATAAAGAATCTGTCTATCCCTCACATGTCTTTGTGGCTCATGCCACGAGAAGTTTTCACTGTGATCTTTTTATGGACATGTTACAGGGACAGTGGTTTTTGTTCAGTAATTAAAACCACATGTAAAACCAAAATATGAGAAAAACAACCAGGGAAAATGGTAATGGGACAAGCTTACATTCTTCACTGGATTTCACTGGATTCTCCATTAGATAGAATAATGATGTCCTTGTGGTTTGTCTAGCTGGTAGCTTTTGGGAAAATAATTTGACTGTTTTAGGGCAAAGCCAGCAGCAGCCTCTCCAGTCAGCCACCGAAGGGATTCTGTAACATGCACTCTCCTTAATTCTTTAGCATTGTAGGTTACAAGTTCCAATTTCTAATTCCACTTGGTTTCTCTATGCTCCTGGAAGACCACAATGGCTCATCATAGCTAGTCTATCCCCACTCTGCTGATAGGAGATCTCCAAAGCATCAACTGTTTTGTTCAGGAAGTTGCTAACTTTCTGGAATTCATTGCTGATCATTTTCCATGAACTATTCAAGGTGACAGGAGCAGTCACATACTCCCTGGGGTGGAAACAGCTGTGATGTTCCAAAGGATAGAGATCCAGGTTGCACTTGCCTGTAAAATAACATATATAGTATTCATCTTTATTTTTTAAAAAAGTACATTAAAAAAAAAAAAAAGAAGAATATGAACTTGCACATTCTTAGTTTCTGTCAAGATTTTATGACCTTCTGATCCAGCCCTCATAATCCTAGGAGATTAGCTACATTCTGGGCTACACTGCACTCCCAGTGTTGACTGAGGGTCAAAAGCTACATTCACTGAAATTGATGTAGAAAACTCTAAGGTAGTGAACACTGGATGGACAACCCAGCAATAAGGCATTGCAGTTAATAGAAGTACCACATGGTGCACAGCTACCCTTACTACAACATAAAGGACCATTTCAGGAAAGGCTCAGCACCCAGTGTAACAAAACACCTACTGCAATTTTTGAATCAGTTGTGTTCACAGGCTTCTTGGATGGGAAACAGCATATTTGGTAGCATGGAGCTGCACTGAGGACTGAACAGGTCTCATCTCTCCTAACTTCAGCAACATAAAAAATATAGGTCTAGGCTCAGAGCCTATAGTTAATGAAGGGTTCCTAAGTCAGTGACAAACCTGTGCTGACTATAAAAGGGGAGTATACAGGTATATATTTCATGTTTAGAAAAGTAGAACATAAGATCTACTCCTGATCTATGCTGAGCTCATTTTTTTGCTCCCTGCAGAAATATTGTTTAATATTCTTATTTGCAAAGGAAATGTTCAGCCAAAATCTTCACAAGAGTGAATGTTCTTTACAAAGTGATGGGGCCCATTAAGCTGACGTCTTCTTGCATCAGCTTCACTCTAAGTTTAGCTGACATGAGCAGTCTGGTTTGATAGGTAACTTACCTCTCTAAAATTATACTTGTTCCATCAGTGCATTTAGCACCTTCATATAATCACTTCTGTGTAATCACGTCACACTGCTGACAATGAAGCAAAACCTTTGCTTTAAGTACAGATGCTGATGCTAAAATTCACTGTGAATAAACTTAGTTTGTCTTCCACAGCTAGGAGTAAAGTAGTACTGAAGTGAGTTGTAAGAGTTGAAGTTTCCAATAATCTATGCTTGGATGATAGAGAAACAATTAATAAGCAAGTGAATTTCTGTAAGTGAGCTACTAGAGTTACCACAGGGGACAGCAGCTTGGAACAGTTCAGCTCTTCTGAAGAGAATCTGTTTCTGCATGTCTTTGCAGGAAAATACTATGTGCAATACATATTCTAACACACTATTCTGCTCAGCTTCAACCTTACTCGGTAATCTCTATGAGTCATATATTTGAGACTTTACTGTATAATATTTTTACCTAAGAAATTCTGATCCCAAACCACTAGGCACACATTTCATCTTTAAGTAAATTCCATGTTAATCTACTCATATCTAGGATGAATATGGTCCCTAAATATCATTAATGATATTTCAAAATAAGGCATTCTCACCAGATGTTAGACAGCCTTTCACAGGATTACACATTGATAGCAAAAATGGAAAAGAAAACAGTAATGTGGAATTACTCTGGGGGCAAAGTTGAAGGTTGAAAGCAAAACACATAGGAAAAGTCAGAAATGCACTCACATGATGAGGAGCCATGAATCCCTGAGGGACTCAGCACAGCCAGCAATTCAAGGGACTAATCCAAGTTATGAGAATTAGTCAGAGAACACAGGGGTTTACACAAGTCTGTAAGAATTGGCAGGAAGTTGTTAAAGGCATAGCTAGCAAAAAACCTTATAAACAGTCTTGTTAACCCACTAACACACATCAGAATTGAGTAGGTGTGGAGAGAGAGAGAAAGGGACGTATGAAAGCAAACAGTGGGAATTTTACTTTTTTTCTGTGCAAATGAAAGCTTTGTTATCCACTGATGCTCTCAAGTAACCATAAGGAGGCAGGCAGATTCAGGCTATTCTTTACCAGAAGCCTCAGGTGCCTTAAGTTTTCTTAACTACCCATTTACAGATTCAAGATTTTTGATTCTTGTAAATGCCAAACCAAACTCTGAATTGAAACCTGCAATTCTGCTTGTAGACTCTCCCTTCCTCCTTCCACTCTGTTTTGTTAAACTGTTAAGCTGTCCTCTTCCACATCTTCCTTAGCCTGTGTAGGTTTTTTAATGGACTGCAAAAAAAACCTACCCCAAAACCCCAAACCAAACCAAACAAAGCAAGCAAATTTATTGCCTCAAGCAATTTTTCATTGCTGGGAATATTATTAAAAGCAAAAATGCCCAGTTTGCTCTACTTCACTATTGCAGCTTTTAATACAAGACATATTTGTGGTGAGATCTGGCTGAAATACGTAGCTCTTTCTTCTGTTAGGACCTCGCATCATTCACTTGAACAGGTTTCTGGCAGCACTCTGAGTGCATTGTCAATATTATG